CTCTCTCTCTCTCTCACACACACACACACACACACACACACACATACACACCTGAGGAGAAATTCAATTCCAAATTGCTTTAAGGTTCACCTTTGAAGTTTACTTTGGTCTGGAGAGTGCCATGACCTTAAAGTTTGATGAAAAGAGGGAGTAGTTATTAATCTCATTATTTTATTTTGAAGTTCTCCCAAAGCAGGTGCCTCGAGACCGTATTTCTGCAAAATGACATTCGTAGTACATGTAAGTTGATCATTGTTACACAGTAAAAGGCAACATCTCAGATTTTAATACACCTTCAGTATTTTTTATCTGACATTCTCAATTCTCACTCTACCTCTTCAGAGCTAACACTATTTTGGATGGTTGAATTATGTATCATATCTACGCTTAAATGTAAAATCTGTACCTTTTTAAATTTTTAATGTTTTTTTTTTTTTTTTTTTTTTCGAGAGACACATAGTGTGAGTGGGGGAGGGACAGAGAGAGACAGAGTCTGAAGCAGGCTCCAGGTTCTGAGCTGTCAACACAGAGCCCAGTGTGGGCTTGAACCCACAAGACATGAGGCCATTACTGAACCAGTCAGATGCTCAAAAGACTGAGCCACCCAAGTGCTCCTGAAAACTTTTGCTTTTTAAAGATTATTTTTATCCCCTTATATATGCCAAACTTATTTTGATACTCTAAAAATGTTTACTCTTCTTTCTTTTAATATCTGCTATACTATTCCTTTTACACAAAGGTATTCCATTGTACTACAGAATATTACAATTGAAACAGTATATTGTTACTGTACAATAATTAAACAAACTTTTAAAGGACACAATAAATTAACTATACATTTTATATAGTCACATTCAGATGAGAATTACTTCCCAAAATCAAAAACCCACTCAGTTTTCTAGGTATTATGTAAATTTCTACCAATGTAATTTAATCTTTTGAACAATCATGCCAGACATGCACATTATTATTTTCACCCTAAAAATTAAAAAAAAAGATTGAAAAATATTTTTATAAGAACAAAGTCTGTGGGATGATAATCACAATTTTTCTCAAATAATTCTTGAAGTGTGATTTGTGAATTACTTGCATCAGAGTCATGTTGTTAAAGTAAAAATTTCTGGCTCAAACTCCAAGCTGCTTTATGAAAATCTCTGGTATAGGAGACTCTAGAATTTCAATTTTATCATTTTTTTCAGTTTGATTATCATTAGTCTAATGTATAACATAAATGTATACTATTGTATACATACAAGTATAATGAAAGTGGAATAAGATTAAGAAAACAATGCAGCAGTTATCTTTCTTTTTTATTGTCAATAGCCTTAGAGAGAAAGGAAGAAGTAAAAAACAATGTGAAATCTATAACACTTTACCAGGCAGCTATTCACTTCAAGAAACTGCTAGGAGCCATAAAAAGTAATGAAATCTTGCCATATGCAACAATATAGATAGAGCTACAGAGTATAATGCTAAGAGAAATAAGCGAATCAGAGAAAGACAAATACAGTATGATCTCATTCATACGTGGAATTTAAGAAACAAAACAGGTGAGTAAAGGAAAAAAGGGGAGAGAAAGGGAGACAAACCAAGAAACAAACTCTTAACTATAGAGAACAAACTGATTACCGGAGGGGAGGTAGGTCAGGGGATACAGGAAATAAGGGATCGGGATTGAAGAGTACACTTATCACCATGAAAAACATAAATAAAATGAGTTTTAAAAAAATTCTAGGAGTAATATCTTTATATGATGATGGGAAGAAAGAAGGATAAATGATAGTTTAAATAAATAAATCTCTCTCTACCTTCCTCTCTCTCTATCCATGTTCCAGCAATACTTTAAATAGTTTAATAATTCAGACCGCCATGGTGATAAACACAAGAAAAGAAAGCTGGTTTTTACTCTTCTAAGGTTAAGGATAGTAGGAAACTTATTATAGAATAAGTGTAAAAGGAATGATCTTCAACATGCAGGTGTTTATGCTGGAAAGAAAAAAAAATATATATATAGGGAGGGCCGTGAAGGACTAACTTGAATATAATTGTCTGAGAATGCTTAGCTGGGAGCAGTAGATTGCAACAGTACAGATTAAAGATGACCAGGGCATGGACTGTGGATTTTGCTTGAGGAAAAATGAAAAAGAGACAGATGCCAGGGATATTATAGTCAGCATGATAATGCAAATGATTCACTGAGGAATTGGACAGGAAATTTTGATGATCCTCAGACATTCTGATTCTTAAATGCTCTGCCATTAATGGCTTTGATCATTGTAGTCTACTCACAGTATGAAGATTTATGAATTTCTATAAAGATGATAAAAAATACTTGATCTTAAATCAACCACTGGAAGAAGAACTCATGGAGCAGCAAATGCCTTAAGTAGTCATTTTGTAAGGTAGGCAACAAGAGTAATGATTTCTATTTGATTTAGTATCTCAAAAGAGATTATTTTTTAAAATTGAAACAAATGTAGAACAGTGGAACATATTTTATCTTTGGCCATAAAACATTGTTTTATAAGGAGTATAAGGAAAATTGCAAGGTGATCATCAGCTGATTAAGATGTATAACTGTTAAAATTAATTATTTCTTCAGCACAGTCTCTGAGTTATTTCCAGTATGTAATAAGTAAAATATTCCCTGAAGATTAGGAATTTAAACGTGCTTCTACAATTTAAAACAGAAGAGCTTTATTACCATGAGCAGGTGATTTTTTTTTTATCCATAATAAATAATGGATTTCGAGCTATGGATAAAATAGGTAATTAATCAGTACTGTTAACAAATACCACCTGTCCTCCCTAAATGATTCCAGAGTTTAGAATTAAGAATCACACTATCTTTATCTTCTTTGTTTAAAAATATCTCTTAACTCTTTTGGAGTTCTAAAGCCATATTTTTCGTAACTTGCTAAAGTACTTGAACTACATGATGTTCATGTCAGAATACAATCTGGTCATTTAGTATTTAATCCTTTCATTCCTGAGCAATTCCTTTTTTTTTTTTTTTTTACTTTCAAGCATCTCAGTGTAATGATGAGCCCAGAGGTTCATATCGTAACATAACAAAATATATCTCAGGTCATTCCTCTTATTTAACTTCAGCCCTGATTTAGGTTTGTTTTGTTTTTGGTTATCAAAGGAGGTAATGTAAAGAGCACATTTTTATATTTTAATTTGTAATTCAATATAATTGCACAAAAATAGCATTGCATACATCAGCTATATAATAAAATTATTAAGCAATCGGTATTAGGTTTTTCCCCCCATTGGAGTATGAAACATCCTCAGGAAGATTTAACAAATTTAAAGCTACATAAAAAAAAAAGGAATTTTGCAGTGATCAGAATTCACTCTGATGTGTCTACAAACTCATTCTAAACACCTTATTCTGAGTTATCTGTGGATTGTGTCAAGACTTAGAAACTTTAAAGATTTGAAAAATTTTCTAGATCACTCATCTGCAAACCCACAACTGGAGAGGGAAATAAACGATTTTAAAAAGTCAATGATTTTATTCGTTGTTCACTTTATTATAATTATGTGGAAATGTGCTCATTCCATTACCTCACTTCAGGAATGTAGACAGAGTCATTGACCTGGCCTTAAACTTTATTTATCCATTTTAATGATTTATTGCATTATGGTATGTAGTAAATATGTATAGGAAATAAGAATCTAAACAAAAAGGTAAGATGCATGAATGAAGACCCAATAATAACATGGTATTACTTTTCATTTAAATCATACTCCATACTCATACTTCTACAATATCATTATTAATCAAATAACTATATTCTTGAATTGTAACATTATTGTCAATTATGTTGCCATTCATATATGTTTTAATGAAACAAATTTTTGTTTTCACGAGTTGAGTTTTTCAGTAATGATGATTTTATGAGATTTTGCCCATGTTTTAAGAGAGCCAATACTGTCTTCACGAATATCCTAGATAATTCACATGGCATCATTGAAGCCCAGTTCCAAAAACAGCTTCAGCTTTCTGAATTGGCTATGACAGAATTGGCATAAACCTTGAAATTGCAGTTATTTAGTCTGGCCACCATGCCCAGAGAGATCTACTTGGAATGGTTCTGGAAGCTGTTCTTTTATTGTGTGCAACTATTCTTAATATGGTGGTATTTGACAGCCATTTTAAGTAAGAACTGAAGCCAATTAAATGGTTTCTCTGTGGATTTCCTCTGACAGATGCACAGAGGCATCTTATGTTAGCCAATACACATTATTTAAACATAGCTAAAACCATTCCAACATTTATTTTGATGCAACCAGCTAATTATATGGCTGTGATTTATGTGTAAGTAAAGGACTTTAATCAGATCTATTATTTTCATCCCCTGCTGTACTCTTTTCACAGAGTCATGGTACCTATAAGGAGCAATGGAAGACAACATCGCCCACTAAAAACCTGGGCACATTCTCTTGATTCCATAGTAATTGAAGCCTGATTTTAAATGGGAAAACATTGTAATTGCCTTTCCATGATTAGAAAAGTAAAAGTTCTGTAGCTTGAACTGACAGATGACCATTTGCTGTTCTGTGGTTAGTTACACTTCGGACATAGAGCAAGCCAGAAAAAAAATCCTAGAAACTTAATAAAGATGGATTTACTTGAAGGGCAAACTTCGTTTTTATAGGGGCTACTTATAATTTTCAGTACTTCTTAAATTAATTCCCAATTCTTAATTCATATTTCAGTTTTGCTATAAAATACACTAAATTGGATATTTAACATAAAGAAAAATGACCATAAACCTAAATTTTTAAAAGTATTTCAACAAGTGAAGTCCAGTTGAAGTTACCGTCAGCATAACAGCAATACATAGGACATAAGCACAACTCTCTACCTAATATTTATGGATCTGGGATGGCTGGCTCCTCTAGTTGACTTTGTTAGAAGTTAGTACATTAGCAGATTTGTGAGTTTTGTTATGAACCAATTATTTTTCTTCTTTTCTTTATTTTTCTAGATGCTCCACCAACTGGTCAGGCACACAATGTGAGAGACCAGCCCCAAAGAGCAGCAAGTCTGATCATATTAACACAAGTAAGTTCCTCAGCTTAACATCATGGGAGTTCTACATGGTACAGAAATCATTCTTTTATGCCATTACTGGGGGCTTGAGTCTTGGAAAATCCCCTTCAAAGAATTTTGCAGATGTATTGCAATCCAGGTGTTTGGGGAAAGATGGAGCACTGAGATCACCTGGTGACAAATTCCAGCATTTATGTTCTTTCGGCAGCAAGGGTTCTAACTTTTGCAGGTTTCAGAAAGCACTGCAAATCTAGCATAAGCTTTTCTTGGGAAGTGTACGTTAGTCTACTAAGGCTGCAAATATCACAGTGGGTGTGATAATGGTACAGGAAAAAAAGTAATTTTAATTAGAACAAGGTGTATTTTTTGAAGTGCATTTCAGATGTTGTTGGAGAGCATGTATGACTGGTGAGTCTTAAAGAAAAGTATCTTAACAAATCTTAATAAGGATCATAGTTCATTTATTGCTCCTTTATATTTAAATTATTGGTTTTGAAGTGTTTTAAAATTTAGTTTAACATTTGCAATTCCTTTTTTGTGCAATTATAGTCTATGGACAGGTCACTGGTAAGAAAGCCCATCTACATCATCATTGTGTGTCTATGTGTATATTTTTAACAACTTTAAACAATTTTATGAAGATTTTCAAAATGAAAGTTTCCCAATTCACCATACTGTCATTAATTTTATTATGAGTGAAGAACTTTTGAAATATATAATATCTATCAAGTGGGTAAATATATTCTTGAAGAAGAAAAATTATATCCCTGATTGACGGATACTTACTTCAGCATATATTTCTCCAATCCGTCACTGCTGGTGAAAAAAAAAAACTTGCTTGAAAACAAAAAACATACTATAGAGTTTGTGAAAAAGGAAAGGCACTATCAAAGTCAAAAGTATGCAATTTTTATATCCTAGATGCAGGATCTCAGTGTTTGCTGATCTACTTGTTTGTTGCTACTCCCACCAAATAGTTTCTCTGTCACTGCTTAAAATTCTCTAAGCAACATGTCCAAATTTCCACCATTTAGAAATCTGGGCTAATAAACAGGAGCATCTTTGAAAAATGTCACATAAGTCTAGAATAAATAGTCTAGACATGAATATTTCAATTTGCAGAGATAAGATGAGTAATTTTTGGTCATATAGTATTTGGGGTTTACCCTGGAATTTGTGTGTTGTCCTTAGGGAAGGGAAGGGAGGGGAGGGGAGGGTTGAGGTAGGGAAATGAAGGGAAGGGAGGGGGAAGGGCCTTAAGAAAACTATGGGGATATTAATGTAGTAATAGGATACTGGAATTTGAGAAATTGGTTCATAAAAATTAGTAGAAGAGGCAAAATATACTTTGCCTAATTTGATACTGCAAAAGGAGAGGGAAAGAAATACTTTCTTTTCTCTCTTCCCAGGATCTAGGGCTTATACCCATATTACAAATAATAGTTCTGGAGACACATAATTTACATATGACTTTGTGAAGTAGTTACAAAACTCAGCAATCATTAATAGCATTGTTTTTATTTTTTTTTTAATTTTTTAATGTTTACTTACTTTTTGAGAGACCAAGAGCAGGGGAGAGGCAGAGAGAGAGGGAGACACAGAATCTGAAGCAGTCTCCAGGCTCAGAGCTGTCAGCAGAGCCTGACGCAGGGCTCGAACCCATGAACCACAAGATCATGCCCTGAGCTGAAGTTGGCTGCTTAACTGACTGAGCCACCCAGGCGTCCCTAATACATTGTTTTTAAATGAAAAATATATTTTGAGTTACTAACCTATAGAACACACTGAATTTATCCATTGAGAATTGTGAAGACAAGTTATTGTAGCCTTTTGTTTATGGTGATTTCTCAGTTATCTAAGATAAATGAGATACACAGCATATTAAAGAGTCAAAAAACAACTTTAAATATTGATAAACTCTCTGAAAAGAAAGAAGGGTACAGAGTAGTAAATCAATTGAATTTTCAAATTTGGCATAAGTTCCATCTATGAGGGAAAGCTTGGTGTTTGGAAGATGGTTTGGAGGAGGGAGCACCAGATGTGCTATAAATCTCCTTTATAAGGCAGATGCCTTTTATTACATGCAACAGTTCTAAAAAGGGACTTTTTAGGAGTTGCAAGTATTTGTAACCATTTTTCCAAAGAATCTAATGTTCTTCCTTCCATCACTGATTTAAAATCATTAAATTTAATAGAAGTATCAGTGCACGTTGAAAAGACTATTAGCTATGTAAATGTCAAATTTTCCTAAATTTGAGCACACTTGGCCACAAGATGATACTATTAAAAGGTACTTATCCGACATTTATGCTTAGAGAAAGTTGCCTCAATAACTCTGAAGGAAGGAATAAAAGTAGTTAAACTGATCCTACCTAAGGTAAGAGGATTATTTTTTTCTGTTAAAGCCCCATGGTTTTGAATGGTTGTCAAATGTTCCCCAAACTTAGAGAGAAGTCATCCGCCCAAGAGGAAGGATAGATATTTTAGCAGTGTGTTTTCAGAGCTGCATTTCCATTTCCACCAACAGTGAAGCATTCCGTAACCATCAGACCTTGGAGTAATAAAGAATGCATGGGTTCTGTTGGCCTGTCAATTGGCAAGGAGATTTACCTTTCTAATTGATGCACAGATTTCTTAATCATCTCTGAGTAGTCATAGTGATGGTTTCTGGCTGTTGCTGTTTAAAGTATCTAAACACCAGCCTGTAGAATTAAACACATCTATTATCCTAGCATATTCTGCTAAGGTTCCACTTAAAAAAAGCTTGTCTGACTCTTCTGAAGTTATTTTGAAGAGTTTAAAATTAAAGATGATAAAATATTCCTTGTATACTTCTATTTTAATTTTACCTAAAGTTTTAAGGGAATGGATGCTCAATGCTTGAATTATGCTGTTCATATTTGCTAAAACTAAGGAGGATAAAAATATACTCAGAATTTGTGAGGCAGTACTATTCAGATGCTGTGTTTTACTACAGTGACCAGAGAGATGTGATCTCTGTTAGGGGGCTATGTTTCTTCTTTTCCTATCTTGCCTTTATCTCTTATATCAATCATCCTGTTTCAAAATAGAAAAAAAAATTATGTGATACCAAGGACCCAAAATTTTGTAAATTTAGTTAGATAACTGAAAAATGCAACAAAATAATGCCTTTGTCCTAATTCTCCCAAGGTAAATATTTATCAAGCCTCTACTAAGTGTCAGGTACTGAACTAGATCCCAGCAACAAGTCAGTGATTCAGACAGATTGCCTCTTTTATGAAGCTGAGACTCTAGAAGGGTAAACAGCAATAAAACAAGGAAGCAAGCAAATAAGTGAACATGAAGATTTATAAAATAATTGTAAATTTTTATTGGTCCTGCGAAGGAAGCAAAAAAGCAGCAAAAATAGAGAATGGCAGGGGAGAACAGAGGTCAGGAGTGAGGTCTCTGAGGTGATGGTATGTAAACTGAGATTTGAAGGATTAAAAAGAGAAGAAGCTAAGGGTATTTCCAACACAAGGGGCAGGAAGGACAAAAACCCTGGAAGAGGAAAGAGAGATGTCCAAGGCACTGAAAGACCAGTGTGCTGGCATCAAGGGTCGACAAGAAGGAGAGTGATACAAAGGGAAGATATTTTACTTATGACTGTTAATGTTACAGTTTATCCCAATACTTAAGAGAAGACATCCTACTCACAAAAACATCCACATTCACATGTATGGATATGTGTAAACATACATTTAAGAGCAGAATATATAGCAACAAGTCAAAAGAGGTCAATTGTAATGATATGTTTAATCTATTTTTCTACCAATAAACAAAACGTCCTTTTCCTCAGACTCCCAGGACACTGAATTATTCTGGTTCCCTTCTTCCTTCTCTTGAAGCATTCATCTTCTTTGTGAGATACTCTTTATCAATTTCTTCTGGATAACTCATTCTCTACTTCCCACTGTACACACCTTCCATGGTGATCAATAATTCCTCCACCTCATTTACCAACTCTATGTTGATTACACCTACATTTCTATTCTCAATCCTGGTTTGTCTTCCGAGTTTGAGACCTAGATCCCACTGCACAATTGCAATATCCATGTATATATCCATGGCAATATCTATCTGTATCATCTGTATTCCATGGGAATCTCAAGCTCAACATGTCCCAAAGTGATCTCACCACCCCTTCCCCAACCCACAGAGTGTTAATGCAATATATATTTTTAATTATTTAATAAACATGTGTGTCACATTTTCTATATGATAGTCAATCCGACTGACATTACTATGAGGTGATATTAATGATGACTCTCATTTTATGGATGTGTGAACTTCTACTTTCTCAAGGATACATTGCTAGTAAGCTGAGGTTTGGACAAAGATAATCTGGTTCCAGAGTCTATTATCTCAAGTGCTGTGCTTTCCTGCCTCTCCCAGGGAGAGGGTCTCTTCAACGGAAAAATGTGATAATACAGTCCTTTCTAATAGGAAATGTTACATAATGAGGCTTCAGAACAATGTTGCAAAGGAAGGCTTGGTCTGTTTTATATGAGAAGGTTATCGAGATGTTGAGATATCTCCATCTTTAATAAATGCAGAATGTGTTTTTTTTTTTTAAAAAAATCAGTTTAGAATAATCCACCAATAAGTTACTGCTGACAAAAATCATCTACAATAAACCTTGATTGATATATGTTACAATATATTTACGGCTATATATTCTACTTGGGAAAAAAAACTTACTTTGATAAATATCTGTCTTATAATTCTAAAAGTATATGTTGTTCCCAATGGTTTCCTTCAATGTAAAATTTTATGAAACCAAATTTTAAAATCTTGCCCAACTGCTACCCTGTATTACTTATTGGCTACACTAAGCATTATTTCAGTTACCTTAATTGGTTGTGTAAACTTTAGAAGTCTACACTCTTAAACAGAGTGCTGCAATGTAAGGAATTGGAACTACCATCTGTGATGGGAGAAAGAAAAAGAAAAAGGTAAGTTTTGTAGCATGTATACATAACAGTATATCTACCTTATATGGGAATAAAACTATATTCAACAAATAAAATTTAAAAAAATAATTATCAATTTCAGTGAGGGAAAGTAACTTTATATACCTTAAAACCAGGATTGGTAAGTAAGTGTTTTATATCTACCAATTGACCAGATATTTTAGGGGGATAAAAGATAATGAAGTAAGGATATTTATGAAGTCATGATCAGTCAGTTGAAGTCGGAGTTTATGAAGAGACCAAGCTGTTCACTGGTATTTAAAATTTGTGAATAAATGTTAATTACTATCCAAGGTGCCAGATTCTCTACTTTCATTAATTACTAATAAATTACACATTCATATAAAGTTCATTTTCCCAAAACCAAGATGGCAATATAATATGAAAGTCACTAAGTAGTCCTGGTAAGAACATGAAATAATAAAATGAGCTTTACACTTTAGGAACAGACTACACAAGGCAAGACATTTATATACATATAAATATAAATTTATATATATATTTTTTTTTTATTTTTTTTTATTTATTTTTTTTGCCTGGAAGAGGTAGTTATTTGGCTGTTTAAAGTTCCAAATTACATTATGTTCTACATGAGATTTCCTTAATAAAGACTTTTTGGTATTTTAGTAAGGGATCTCCAGTATGGACTATTTCACACAGATATCTCTTGTCTAGAGCTATGAAAACTGATCTATCTTACTGTTTATACCTAAGCAGCTGCTTATTGTGCTGAACATTACTATTCATTTCTACCACAGTATTTTTACAGGCACTTGTATTTGTAGAGGAAGATCAATATATTTAATAATTCCTGATATTTCATTCTGGACCCATTCAAGATCTCCATATTAAATTTCAATTAGTTTGGGGTTTCATTTGTTTTAGTTTTCAGATGACTCAACTGAATCAACCAGATGCATAATCCACTGGATTATGGCCAGTAGAATTATATAAATGTGTGTTCAGTCACCATTGATTTACAAGAATTTACCAGCATGTACTTAATCATTGCAAGTAAATTTGTATAGTGAGAATCAGACTCTGCCTGACAAAGATAACAATATTTCTAAACCTCAAGGTATTTAACACACAAATGTAAGCTATCTAAGGAAACAATTCCAGCATATCAAGTATTTAACAGGAGAGTGATTTTTCAGTAACATAGTTATGAACGAAGAATGTAGACGTTTGGCCCGAGTTTCACATTCATTACATCAGTGGTCAAATGATTTAGTGCAATAAGGTGTTCAGTTATATCAATCTTTAATTGATTTTATTTTTGTTCTCCTATTCACTAATTTTTTTTTTCAGGAAGCATCGCCATCATTGTGCCTCTTGTCCTCCTGGTGACTTTGATAACGACCTTAGTAATTGGTTTAGTGCTTTGTAAAAGAAAAAGAAGGTAAGATTCAATGGTTTAGACAAATAGTAAATATATTACACACAGTTACAGAAATGTAAGGATGTTGTTCCTTTTCATTTTTAAAAACAGGATTTATTTATTCCAAGTGCAAAGTCTTGTTTTCAAACCATTTATTTTATCCATTTCATTTTAAAGTGAGTAAAATTCAGAGAGCTCTTCTCCCTTATGTTGATGGAATGGATCCATTTGTATATTCTAACAAAACTAACAAGGGGACATAGTATTTAAAATTTCAGTAGAATTTTACATTTGTGGTAGTTTTTCCATGAAAGAACAGGAATCTCTGAATGTGTAAGATGAGTAATGTCAATACAAGAATACTGAATATGTATTGTATATCACAAACTGAGTTTAATTCACAAATTCTATGCTTATTTTATATATCCCTGGAAGTGTAATTTTTCCATTTATTTGAATAGGCAATTAAAAAGATCTGGAAGGAGTAGGTTGTCTATAGGGTTATTATCCAGAACCAAGGATGACCTGGGTATTAAAAACAGTCTATTTCAAAGATTCTTTATCAGAATCTGTTACTCACGGTCTTCAGAAATAAAGGGTAAAAGTAAATTTTACAAATTATAAAGGGGGCTCCTGGGTGGGTCAGTCTGTTAAGCATCCGACTTCAGCTCAGGTCAGGATCTTGTAGTTCATGAGTTTGAGCCCCATATTGGGCTCTGTGCTGACAGCTCAGAGCCTGGAGCCTGCTTTGAATTCTGTGCCCCCATCTCTCTCTGCCTCTTCACTACTCACACTATCTCTCTCAAAAATAAGTAAACATTAAAAAATACGTGTTAAATTTTTAATTAACTAGTGAATATTCAGTTTCAACTAATATATTAGCTACTTAGGAGGAATATTTTCCAATTGCATTTTTTATTAAATCTAAATTATTGGGGGAAAAAACTTATGACATTTAGACTTTGTTGTTCTTCCATGATTTGATAAATATCATTTGTTTTTTGTTTTGTTTTTTTTTTTTAATTTTTTTAAGGTTTTTTTTATTTATTTCTAGAGAGAGAGAGAGCGTGAGCAGGGGAGGGTCGGAGAGAGAGGGAGACACAGACTCTGAAATAGGCTCCAGGCTCTGAGCTGGCAGTTAGCACAGAGCCCGACGCGGGGCTCGAACCCACGAACCGCGAGATCATGACCTAAGCGAAAGTCGGACGCTTAACCGACTAAGCCACCCAGGCACCCCAAATATCATTTGTTTTAAATGAAATTTATTAGCTCTCTGTAAGTTATATTTACAAGACAGTAAATCTACAAATATGATAGTTTTATGTATCATGATTGTAATACTGAGACAACTTACATTAATATTCACATATTCTAGGACAAAAACTATTAGAAGACAACCTATTATCAATGGAGGAATCAATGTAGAAATTGGCAATCCATCTTATAACATGTATGAGGTGGATCATGATCACAACGATGGAGGCCTTTTAGATCCTGGTTTTATGGTAGATGCAACAAAGGTAATATGTTTTAAGATAATGGACAGTGAGTACTAACATTTTAGAGTTGCTTATCTGTAATATAGTCTTTATTTTATCAGCATTTCTTTTATCTAAAGTTAAAATTATGGACTGCATTCATGTGAAGCAGGTTAAGATAACAGGTTTTGGAAAATATATAAAATAAGTGAATGAGTAAGTATGTAAGTATAATTTACTTAAAATGATGTCTTATTCAAATATGTTGGGATGCTAGCACCTTTACATATATAGCATAGTATAAAAATACTGTCTATTTTTTTAATAATAAAGAGTGTAGTACTTCATTGTCAAAATAAGTATTTTATTTCCAGTAGTGCTTCATTGATTCAGCTAAGCTGTGTCCTTGGATTTGCTTGTAAAACCACTTTTGAAAAATATTTTCCTGTCCTCCAGAATAGCCTTCCTATTGATTTGGATGATGTTGTTCATACATATAGCCTAGAAATCTGCCTTTTGGGGGATAAAGTTTCTGTTCTTCTTATTGTATGCTCAGATTAGCACTTTTTAAGAGAAATAGGTAGATAATACAATTATCCAGATAAACTAAACTTGCTAAGATTCACTATACTGTATTATCTTCATATGTTGCATGATAATTATAGAATATTTTATTATTAATTAAGAGCATCAATTTACTTATAGAATGATTTTTCTTAGTTCATTCATTTATTGAATAGTTATTTATTTTCTAATATTTAAAATGTGCTTTGTCCATAGGGTTATTATAAATTTATATTTATATTATAAATAATCAAAGTGAACAATCTATATCCAAATGATTTTGGATATAATCCAATCCACAGCAAGGGCTGTTTCCAAAGATGCTGAATTAGGGTCCCATATATTCAAGCCAGTTCTGAATCCGTGGCACTGTCTCAGCCTGAAGATGATGGGCAAACATTTCTCTGAAAAGGAATCAATTATTCCATGTATAAATTTTTACATGATCAGAGGATATTGTAGTGACTTTTTTCCTAATTAGATATAAATTTATATTTATTATTAATTCATTAATCAACTCCTACATTTTAAATTGTTCATGAAATCAATCCTGGGAACCTAAGTTACAGTGTTTTCTACTTAAAAAATTAAGACTATATATTGTGCACAGTATTACTTGATAATTTTTCTGTAAAGAAAGACAAATAATAGAATTCTCATATTCTTTGAACTTAGGAAAAAAGTACAATGTCTGTAAGTATATTAACTGATAAGGACATACTTTATATAGTTTTCATAAAAAGGAGAGGTCTCATTTTCCCCATACTTTTTATTTCTGGTGATAGAATTTAGCCAATTTTGGATACTTAAAGAAATAGCTTTTTAGTACTCCATTTACAAATTTTTCCACATTTACTCTTGGAAGATAAAACTATGCTTCAGTGCCCCTCAAATATACTTTTAATGTATTTTGCACATAACACTCAATAAATATTTATTTACCAATTTGCTGACTGATTGACCAAAATTGCATTAATGTGACTTAAATGACAATCTAGCTAGCTACTGATTTTTGAAAAGTAAATATGAGTTGTTGCCTAAGAAGTAACGACAAAAAAACATAGCTAGTCCTAATAGGTGTAAACACTATTGGAAGATGGCAGAGAAATACGGAGTTCTGTACTTCCTGCCTACATCTCTCAAAGAAGGGCTGAAGCCAAAGGATTCTGAACCACAGAAGTCTGGGAGGAAAAGAGATGGAGTCCACTAGGAAGACAGCCTCATAACCACCAAGGCTGGGACTCAGGGAGCAACCCACAGGGCCCACAGTGGAGGCAAGACCTGCCTACACACCAAGCCACGCCCATCTGCACTGGGTAGCAGCTTTTATTTATTTTATTTTTACAAGAGTCCCAATTGATGCTACAGAAACAGCCCCTCTTCCAAGACCAGCATTGATGCATTGCCATGATTAACTCTAGATCAATTCTTGCTATTCAGATGTATTCTCCCTTATCTCATTCTTATCTATCCCCTCCTCTGGACTGGGTATTCTTGTTATAGGTTGGCATAAATAGGCATATCTAATGCATTCTCTTGATACATATCCTACACCTTTGTCTTTACCTTAGTTTCTCTCTAAAATAATCAGACTATATAGTTTCTTTGGGTAACATTATCTTTCTTTTTTTCTCTTCACCTCCAGCCTTATTTTTCCTTTTCTCTCTCTGAATTAAGCGTTTAAGTCTCTTTGCCAGATCAATGTTGAATCTCTCTTTTTCTCCCCACCTGTGTCATTTTTAACTTTGTATATGCTCTTCCATCAGTACTGCCCCCACCCTGCTCTTTATTTGTAGCTGGGATTTCTGGTTTTATGCTTTTAGACAGTCTTTGGTTGTTTTTGTGTTGGGTTTGTTTGTTTTTTTTTTCCTTAATTAGCTCATTTTTTTGATTTGACAGTGCATTTGCATGCTTTTGTTCCTGGATTCTCTGTTTCCTTTCCAGGGCTACCTCAAGAAACAAACCTAAGAACACATGGTGGAGAGTCACAACAAGAGAAACCCAGGGACACTATTAAGAGGGCACTTTCTAAACGAACAGACCCCAGACAGGCTATGGAATTCACTTTCTTCTTGAGGGCACATGGTACATTCTCCAAGATTGATCACATACTGGGTCACAAAAAGCAGCCTTCAATAAACATCATAAAAGAATTGAGATCATACTATGCACACTTTCAGATCATAATGCTATGAAACTTGAAATCAACCACAGGAAAAAGTCTGGAAAACCTCCAAAAACATGGAGGTTAAAGAACACCCTACTACAGAATGAATGGGTCAATCAGGCAAGTAGAGAGGATGTTAAAAAATACATGGAAACCAATGAAGAAAATACAACAATCCAAACTCTTTGGGATACAGCAAAGGCAGTCCTAAGAGGAAAATACATTGCAATCCAGGCCTACTGCAAGAAACTGGAAAAAGCACAAATACAAAATCTATCAGCACACCTAAATGAGCTTGAAGCAGAGCAAGAACACCGCAAAACCAGCAGTAAAAGAGAAATAATAAAGATCAGGGCAGAAATCTACAATATAGAATTAAAAAAAAAAGTTAAACAGATCAATGAAACCAAGAGTTGTTTTTTTGAAAAAAATAAATAAAATTGATAAACCTCTAGCCAGGTCTCTCAAAAAACAAAGAGAGAGTACCCAAATAGGCAAAATCACAGATGAAAATGGGTTCATGACCACCAGTCCCTCAGAAATGCAAGCAATTACCAGGGAATACTATGAAAATTTAGATGCCACCAAACGGACAACCTAGAAGAAATGGACCAATTCCTAAACACACACGCACTACTAAAATTCAAATGGGAAGAGATAGAAAATCTGAACAGATCCATAACTAGTGAAGAAATTGAATCACTTATCAAAACCCTCCCAACAAATAAGAGCCCCGGGCCAGATGGCCTCCCAGGGGGAATTTTACCAGACATTTAAATCAAAGTTAATACCCATTCTTCTCAGGCTATTCGGGGGGGGGGGGCAGGGGGGAGGAGGGGGAACGAAAGAAAAGAAAGAGAAATGGAAGGAAAACTTCCGGACTCATTCCTCAAAGCGAGCATCACTTTGATTCCCAAACCAGAATGGGACCCAGCAAGAAAAAAAAAAGAACTACAGGCCAATATCCTTGGTGAATATGGATGCAAAACTCCTCAACAAGACACTAGCAAATCGAATTCAACATCATATACAAAGAATTATCCACCAGGATCAAGTGGGATTCATTCCTGGGTTACAGGGCTGGTTCAATATTTGCAAATAAATCAGTGTGATACATCACCGTAACAAAAGAAAAGATAAAAACTATATGATCCTGTCAATAGATGCATTTGACAAAATATAGCATCCTTTCTTAATAACAACCCTCGAGAGAGTGTTGGGGTAGAAGGGACTTACTTAAAAGCCATTTATGAAAAGCCCACAGCTAATGTCAGCCTCAATGGGGGAAAACAGAGCTTTCCCCCTGAGATCAGGAACACGACAGAGACATCCACTGTCACCACTCTTGTTTAAATTATTTTTTAAATGGTTTTTAATTATTTCTGAGAGAGAGAGAGAGTGAAAGTGAGAGCAAGCCAGAGAATGAGAGTGAGCGAGAGCGCGCACGGGATGGTCAGAGAGAGAGGGAGACAGAATCTGAAGCAGGCTCCAGGCTCTGAGCTAGCTGTCAGCACAGAGCCTGACATGGGGCTCGAACCCACGTACCGGGAGATCACGACCTGAGCCAAAGCCAGACGCCTAACTGACTGAGCCACCCAGGCGCCCCACCACTGTTGTTTAACATAGTGCTGGAAGTCCTAGCATCAGCAAGCAGACAACAGAAGGAAATAAAAGGCATCAGAATGGGCAAACATGAAGTCAAACTTTCACTTTTTGCAGACAATATGATACTCTCCCTGGAAAACCTGACAGACTCCACCAGAAGCCTACTAGAACTGATCCACGAATTCAGCCAAGTCACAGGGTACAAAATCAACGTACAGAAATTGGTTGCACTTTTACCCGCCAATAATGAAGCAACAGAAAGAGAACTCAAGAAGCCGATCCCATTCACAATTGCCCAAAACACCATAAAATACCTACGAATACACCTAACCAAAGTTGTAAAAGATCTGTATGATGAGAATGATAGAAACCTTATGAAGAAATGGAAGAAGACACAAAGAAATGGAAAGACATTCCATGCTCATGGACCAGAAGAATAAATATTGTTAAAATGTCCTTACTACCCAAAGCACTGTGCACATTCAATGTAATCCCAGTCAAAATTGTACCAGCATTCTTCTCAAAGCTAAAACAAAGAATCCTTAATTGGTATGGAACCACAAGAGACCCCGAATAGCCATAGTAATATGGTAAAAGAAAAACAAACAGGAGGCAGCAAAATCCCAGACATTAGCCTCTGCTACAAAGCTGCAATCATCAAGACAGTGTCATATTGGTACAAAAACAGACACACAGACCAGTGGAGTAGAATAGAGAACTCAGAATTGGGCCCACAAATGTATAGCCAATTAATCTTTGACAAATCAGGAAAGAGTATCCAATGGAAAAAAAGACAACCTCTTTAACAGATGGTGCTGGGAGAACTGGACAGCAGCATGCAGAAGAATGACACTAGACCACTTTCTTACACCACACACAAAAATAAACTCAAAATGGATGAAGGGCCTGCATGCGAGTCAGGCAACCATCAAAACACTAGAGGGGAAAGCAGGAATCGAGCTCCTTGACCCAACCGCAGCAATTCCTTACTCCCCAAAGGCAAGGGCATCGAGAGCAAAAATGAACTACTGGGACCGCATCAAGATACAAAAGGTTCTGCACGGCAAAGGAAGCAATCAATAAAACTAATAGGCCACTGACAGACTAGGAAAAGATAGATGCAAACGACCTATCGGATAAAGGGCTGGTATCCAAAATCTGTAAGGAACTCACCAAAGTCCATACCCAAAACACAAATAATCCAGTGAAGAAATGGGTAGAAGACCTGAACAGACACGTCTCCAAAGAGGACGTCCAGATGGCCAACAGGCGCATGAAACGATGCTCAGCATCCCTCCTCATCAGGGAAATACAAAGCAAAACCACACCGAGATACCACCTCACGCCGGTCAGAGAGGCTAACATGAGCAAATCAGGAGACTGTAGATTCTGGCAAGGATGTGGAGAAACAGGCACCCTCCTACACTGTTGGTGGCCATGTGAACTGGTGCAGCCCCTCTGGACAACAGTATAGATGTACCTCAAAAAATTAACAATACAACTCCCCTATGACCCAGCAATAGCACTGCTAGGAATTTACCCAGGGGATACAGGAGTGCTGATACTTCACTTTCAACAATAGCCAAATCATTGAAAGAGCCTAAATGTCCATCAACTGACGAATGGATCAAGAAGATGTGGTTTATCTATACAATGGAATACTACATGGCAATAAGAATGAAATATGGCCATTTGTAGCAACGTGGATGGAACTCGAGCGTTTTATGCTAAGTTAAATAAGTCAGGCAGAGAAGGACAGATACCATATGTTTTTACTCATATGTGGAACAGGAGAGACTTAACAGAGGACCATGGGTGTGGGGAATGGGATAAATATATTTGGTGAGAGGGATGGATGCAAACCATGAGAGACTTTTAAATACAGAGAACAAACTGAAGGTTGATGGCAGTGGGGGAGAGGGGAAAAGTTTTGATGGGCATGGAGGCGGGCACTTGTTGGGATAAGCACTACATGTTATATGGAAACCAACGTAACAAAAAAACTTTAGTAAAAGGTTCAAAATGTTTTTTAAATGGAAAAAATAATATAGTATTGGAAAGCAGAGGGCCACACTGAAGCAACCTGAATGATCAAATGTTTTTCATAAAGTATTTTCTATGTCACAGTGGTTTGTTATAGTCATGACATGATCAAATAAAAATTGCAATAACATATAAAGAGGATTATATAGAACAGTCATTTTCATTATTTTCAAAAGGGATAAAATTTATACTTCAATCATACCTTCTAATCAAAATAACTGATTTAGTAAATAAAGTTAATAAAGATATATGACTATGAAGGCAGTTACAGAATAGTTTGAACATTGCAAAAAAGTGAAATTAGTATTTACTAATTCATCTCAAACCTTAATTAGATTATTTTCAGTACTTTTTAAAATTAGATCTTTGTGGAGGAAAATAAAGAGACGATATTGACTTGATTTTCTATTTAAAATCTTGTTCTGAGACCCTTGCCTTTGTCCCAGTCTTTGTGATTATTCAAATATTAAGAGTTGACAGTTAATTTTTTTAGTTCACCTTATTTGAGTGCATGTATATGCAGTAATATTTGTATGCTCAACTTTTCACCCAACACTTTTCCCTCTTTTGGGCCACTAATGAATGCTCTATCCTGAATGTTAGTGTACCAGATTGGCTAATTCTACCCTTAGACCCAAGAAAATCTAAAGTCAGTATTTTTTCATGGAGACTAAGTGAAGTAGTCTAAATAGTAATTCATCTGGAGAGTCAGATTTCCAAAACACAGATTTTTTTGAAATACAGAGTATTTAATTTTTTAATTTTTTAAAAACAGAGTAGTGATGAATCTTCAATTAGAAGCAGTCAGATTTGAGTGTTCAGGATGGGCTACTGTCAGAACTCTTCAGTGACAGAACTTTAAATGAGGGAGGTGTGTGTGTGTGTGTGTGTGACAGCACTGTTAGCAAAGATACAGTTTGGGAAGTATGAAGTTAAATAGAATGAGTGGAGGTCTCTGGATGCATGGCATGTCTATCAGTAAGCTGTACCTAATAAAAATATCTACTTGTGAAGCACAGATCCAGTATAGTTTTTTTTCCTTAATCTATTAAAGTTACTATGAATGCCCCAGGACTAATGATTATTTTTATGCTATTTTTATGACTTAATGAGTTTATGTCAATGAAAATTGTTCCATGATATTAGATCGGAAACTAAAATTCTCTGTTTACATACAGGCCAGGTATATAGGGGGAGGGTCCAGCGCTTTCAAGCTTCCACATACAGCACCGCCCATCTACCTAAACTCTGATTTGAAAGGACCACTTACTGCTGGGGTGAGAGAAGAAGATTCATTATTCCATATCCATTCCATCACAAAACCCCTCACAATGAAAGATGATGGCTAGACTTAGATAGGGGCTGTCTTTAATTGAGTTTTTAATTAACAAGAGGTTTCAAAACAGCATTAAAATCGGGACTATGTTTTATGCCCTACCTATGCAAGATCACATATAAGATACGTTATTTTAGACAAGCTATTAAGTAGAAATATCTCTTCTGCTGATTTTCAAAATGTCACAGCACTTTAACAATAAAAATGAGTGTTGGCTATTCTTAGAAATCTCTAGCCAAAATGTAAACTAATTTATACTTAAATTCCTGTTTGGTTTTATTCACCTCCTATTAGGATGTTTTATTGAGTATATACAAGTCTGATACCCAGTTAAATAAAAAAATACTATAAAATGTGGTGGCATATTAGGAAATTAGAAATGATCTAATGAAACCATTCTTAAGCATTTTTTAATTGAGTAACAAGTTTCCAGAAGAAGGTACTCTGTCTCAAGTTACATGGTTCATGGTAGATGAAAACAGGATAAAATAGGGTTATCAAGATTCCTCAAGATGAGGGTGTTCTCCCTTGCACCTCTCTCCCATCAGCTCTTGTCCATTCTCATTGTTTATCATGTTTGTCTCATTTGCATGGCACAAAGATTATATATTTGTTTGTAACTAAGATTTAGTGTTTTGCTTTTGGGAAGACAAAACAAAACTACGCAAAGCCTAGGCAGTAAATTCTTGGGTTACGTTTCAAGTCATAAAATCATGAAACCTTGCATGTTTTTCAACTGAAGGAGGTCACTTCTGCATGTCTCAATTCCGCTTCACAGCATTTTAAATATCTATAAAAATTAAGACTACAGACCTCACAATTTCTTGAAAGGACCCAAATGCTTCCAATGACACATATACGTTGTTTGAAGCAAAAATATTGTATTTTAAAGTCTATTCCACCAATATACTTTACTATTATTTTGTTTTTCGGTTTTTAACTTCATACTGAAAAATTATTAGCCTCAAGCAATTAGATGACTCTCTGTAAACACATCTTTCCTGCTGCTGCTATAGCAATAAGGTGGCAAACATACTGACTGGAAAGGAGATGATTTGGTCTAATGTTTCACACTTTTAAATAAACTCTCAATGAATATTGTTGTTACAAAGGTATTTTTGGGCTTTTACTATCGTGTCAAAGCTCCACTTAGATTCCCAAGTTACCTGAAAAAGTACAATTATTTTTAATCTAATACCATGCAAAAGTCAACCTAAAGCATGTAAACACAATTTAAATTACATTTATATAATTACTGTTTAGCAAATTAAGTGTCTTGCCTATAAAGGTTAACATTAAATGACAGACATCCTAGAAAATAACTAATGTGGTCGAAACTGATAATAAAGTTATATTTCTCTTTTTTCTCTCCTTCAGCCAACAAATTACTCCAATCCAGTGTATGCAAAATTATATATGGATGGGCAGAACTGTCGAAACTCCTTAGGAAGTGTTGATGAAAGGAAAGAACTGCTTCCAAAGAAAATAGAAATTGGGATAAGGGAGACAGTGGCATAATCAGCGATACCTTTTATATGCTGTATAAATGTATAAAATATAAGGATGACTTTTGTATGTTCCAACAGTATTTTACTTGTTTTGGCATCAGCATTACCTCTTTCTTTATCTTTTTCCTGGTTAAATGTTTTCTGAGTTTTCTGGGTTTTATTTTTTGCTGATGACTATTGATTGACCATTTGTATGGTATTTTTATGAAAAAGAACTGCACTACAATACAATTTACAACAATGCTGCTGATATGATTCACCTTTGAATTTGTTAAAATTAAAAACAACATATTCCTTTGTAGTGTGAATATGAGCAATCTATTTTATATGAACTTTTTTGGTTCTACTTAATCAACAAAGAGAATCTCTGCACTTTTTCATTGTATGATCTGAAAGCTGTAATACAATGTCATTTTATTTTTCCATTTAAATTGATGGAGGAATGATTGAATGGTCAACTCTTCTTTGTGCCCATTAAGACTGATTCAGACAGCTGAAAATATCCAGCCCTCACGAGTCCAGCATCACCTGCTTTGAAATTAGCCTTAGACTGCCACATGATAGATGAGAATCTTGAGGAAAAACTTTAAAAAGTATATAAAATTAATAATGTGCATGGATACATATGACTACATTCGCCAAAATTTAGTGTACTCTATGTGATATACTAAACATATACACCCTGTAAACAATAGCTATATTTAGGTCGTAGGACATAGCAAAAAATATAACCAGAAGCGCAAAGACCACACTTGCTATGGGATAAGACCTTTTGTTCTTCCTCAGTCCTGAGGTAAACAGCCAGCTGAGAGCACAACAGGGCACTGGGTACTCATGCCTTAGAAAGTTCTTCCCAGTCATGTGCATTTTGTGGAAGATTAACTCAACACTTTACCACACAGAACACTAAACAATAATATAGAAGCACACAAATTGATAACAGAATTCCAATTATGTGAATGCATTCTCTTTGCTTGGTCAAAAGGAAGAGGCAAAACAGCCATTGCCATATTGAACACTTGGGAAATATTTCCAATACACAATATGGCTATCCCATCGTTGGCCCTATTCAAACTGTATTCTTAAAGGAATTTCCAAGTTATAGAAGAACACTTGTCTGCCCCAACTCAAAGGTGGAGAGTATAAATGCTGACCAGTTACTCTGGTACTTTGGTTTCTTTGGTTTATGCAAAACACATGGATCCCATTCACTCTTTTGTTTGTTTTCAAATTTTGATTGAAATAAGTACGATTTATTTAAGTTGTATAAAAAAGGATAGCATTTTTATACAGATATCTTTAAAGGCACAAAAGATTTATTCACAAGGTATGGAGGGCTTTTTGTTCCTCTGCTAGACATGACTGACTTTTAGCTGTCATAATGTATTAACCTAACAGATGAAATATGTTTGTGGTTGCTCTTTATCCCTTTGTACAAGCATTAAAAAAACTGCTGTTTTATAAAGAGACTTTTTGTTGTACTATGTGCATGCATACTACCTATTTCTAAACTTTGCCATATTGAGGCCTTTATAAACTATTGATTTATGTAATACTAGTGCAATTTTGCTTGAACGATGTTATGCATATCATAAACTTTTTCAGGTTCTTGTTTAAGTACATTTTTTAAATTGAACAGTATTTTTCATTTTGGTTATAATAGTCATTTTGCCTATGTTTCTACAATGAAGTGTTAAATACTTTATAAAAAATTGTTGACTGACTTATTTAAATGAAATTCTACATATTTAAGTGCTTGTGTTGGGTAGTTTATAAAAGTAAAAGAAGTCGGATCTTTGTGGAATATAGTATCCCTAGGAAACTATTTCAGGAAACAGACGTAATTTAGTTACATTCTTAGAACATACATTCTGGGGTAGGATTGATTTCATTACATCACTTCTAAAAGCACAATAGAGAACGCATTTTCTCTCTTTTTTTTTTTTAATGTTTACTTATTTCTGAGAGAGAGAGAGAGAGACAGCATGAGCAGGGGAGGGTCAGAGAGAAAGGGAGATACAGAATCTAAAACAGGCTCCAAGCTCTGAGCTGGCAGTCAGCACAAAGCCTGATGCGGGGCTTTAACCTACGAACTGTGAGATCATGACCTGAGCTGAAGTTGGACGCTTAACTGACGGAGCCCCTCAGGCGCCCCACATTTTCTCTCTTCTTAAAGCAGAAACATTTCCTTACTTTATGTTTCACCTCCTTCTTACATTGCTTATTGCAGTCTCTCAAATACAACAGAGAGGTAGGTTTTATACCCAATAGTGTGACAATTATGTTGAAATAAGCCAAAGCTCTTCAGCCCTTCCCATTCTCAAAGAGTGTACTTTGTGCAAAACTCAAATGTCATTATGTGCTAGTTAGGCATTATTTTATAAGTGGAATGGTTATTGCTATACCTATCCGGAGTATCAGACTGGAAATGCACATGTAGGCAGGTCTGATTTACTGAAGCAATCAATGAGTTGTATTAGTTATATTATCTAAAGGGGCCTTTTTATATCAGAGCTTTGTAAATCTAACAAACTATTATTTGAAAGAAAGAGAACCTACACATTGAAGTGATCTTAATACAATTAATAGAAACATAAGTATCTAACAAATCATGTATGATACACAACCAACCAACACTCACAGACTGGCACAAAGACCAGTTTCCTCACTAGGACATTGATGAAAGCCATTGTTAACAGACCTCAGGATACTTTTCAACCCCTATGTTTCATCTACACAGGTGCCTTGTCCACATTATGCCAACCCATGTCCGTTCATTCAAGTCCATATCAGAGTTCACTGTCCTTCTTTCTGCCATTATTTTGCCTTCAGTGTTTATGGGACAAAGATATTTTTTCAACTACTTCAATTGATTAATATAGCTCTAGTTCTTTCTATTTCAAGCCTATTCTGCAAAAACTTGTGTTATAGAAATTCAGGTGTATAATTCTCCTCCAAAGTGACCAAACTTTCTAAATACCATCACTAAAATCCTTCTTAAAATATGCCTTTGAGCTTTGATGGAACATATATTCTAAAAATGACTGCTTCATGGTAAAAATATCCTTTCTACCCAAATGAGTATACATTGGAATTAATTAGTGGTTTTCAACATCTCGAGTTTGGAGCCAGTTAATTACCTGTTCTCATTTACAAGGTAGGATAGTTAGCAGGATCCCTGCATTCTGCCCATTATATGCTACTACTACCAACCAAGTTGAAACACCCAACAGACCTAAATACTAAGTGAAACCTCTTTTGGGAAGAAACATAGCACTTATTTAGACAGATGATCGAGACCTACATTCTGCCTTCTACTATTAAAAAATCTCAGCTATAAAACAAGTCAAACTAAATCTTAGCATCAAAATAATGGAACTCGCAGAAGGGGAAAAAAATAGTCGGGGAAAGGAAGGGAGGTAAACCATGAGAGACTCTTAAATACTGAGAGCAAAATGAGGCAGATGGGATCTTGGGGAGAGGAGAAAAATGAGTTGTGATGGGCATGGAGGAGGGCACTTGTTGGGATGGGCACTGGGTGTTATATGGAAACCAGCTTGACAATAAACTGTAAAAGAAAAAAAATAAAAGATTAAACATTAAAAAATTAAATATACATATTTAAAAAAAGAATCTCAGCTGTAACACCTTCATCGAAATAACCCTCAGCATCAAAATAACAGCACTGCTAAGTTTTCAAGTCTTTAATACTTATGATGCATGAGTTATAGAAAATTGGTATTAGTGGTCCCTGGAGAAGAGAAAACCCCGAGGCCCAGGTCAGGATGGAGAGGGATCTTATCATCCCATCCCTAACCACAGGGCTTTCGGAGAGATCCTAACTCTAACTGTGGAGGTTTCTTTGGGCTGGGTTCCCTGGTCTCCAGAAATTCCCTCTGGGATAGATGGTACGCAAGGGACACAGTCAGTATCAGGAGGGACATGTCTCCTACTGGATCCCCTGCTAGGAAGTGCCCTGGCTAGCCGGCGGGATTACATTTTGGCGGTATCATGCATGTGCACAGAGTAAGGTCTGGAAACGAGGCTGGGTGTGGGGCATAGAACACGGCCCACCTTGGCGGTGCCCACAGCACAGGGAGATCAGACCCAAAAGAGTGATTCCCAACGCCTGGTTCGAGAAGGGCCTGGGGGGTGGGTTGCCATTTTTCTCCCCACAACCACCAAGGTGGAGCCTCAGGGAAAGGTGCCTGGGACCCATAGTGGACGCGAGACCCGCCTACACCAAAGCACACCCATCTGCGCTTTTATTTTAGCTGCTTTTATTTACATTTTTTATGTATATTTTTACTATTTTTTTCCCAGAGCCCCGATTGAGGATACCAAAACAAACAGCCCCTCCGCCAAAAGCAGTACTGATGTATTGCCATGATTAACTCTAGATCAAGCCTTGTTATTCAGATACATTCTCCCTTATTTCGTTCTTATCTCTCCCCTCCTCTGAACTGGGTATTCTGGTTATAGGTTTGCTTAGACAGGCATATTTATTTAGTTTTTTTTTTTTAATTTATTTTTGAGAGGCAGAGAGAGACAGAGCGAGCAGGGGAGGGTCAGAGACAGAGGGAGATATGGAATCCGAAGACAGGCTCCAGGCCCTGAGCTAGCTGTCAGCACAGAGCCCGACGCAGGGCTCCAACCCAGGAACCGGGAGATCATGACCTGAGCTGAAGTCAGACGTTTAACTGACAAAGCCACCCAGGCGCCCCAAAACAGGCATACTTAATGCAGTCTCTTGATGCATGCTCTACACCTCCGCCTTTCTCTCTGAAATAATCAGACTATATCGTTCTCTGGGTAACATTCTCTTTTTTCTTTCCTTCCACTCCCCCCCTTTTCTCTCCTACTCCTCACCTCCTGCTGTGTTCTCCTTTTCCTCTCTCTGAATTAAGCCTTTTAGTCTCTCTGCCTGGTCAATGTTCAATTTCTCTTTCTCCCCACCTGTTATTTCTGTTTCTATATGCTCTTCTATCAGCACTGTCTGCACCCTGCTCTTTATTTGTAGCTGGGATTTCTGATTTTATGCTTTTAGACAGTCCTCTGTCTTTTGTTGTGTTGGTTTGGGATTGGAGGCTTGTTTGTTTCTTTTCAGTTTGCATGTTCGTGCATTTGGGTGCTTTTGTTCCAGGTTTGTCTGTCTGTCTGTTTTCCTTTCCAGGGCTACCTCAGGAAACAAACCAAAGTACACATGGTGGAGAATCCCAAATATCACTACGAGTAGGGAAAGAAAATAACCAAAGTCATAACAAGAGAGACCAAGGAACACCATTAAAAGGGCACTTCCTGAATGGACAGACCCCAGTCTATGAGCCTCCTTTAATATAGCAGTACCTACAGGCACAGAGTGCATTAACAAGCTTTCCAAACATACAGGGGACAGAAAACTAGCCAAGATGATCAAACGGAAGACCTCCCCTCAAAAGAAATTCCAGGAAGATGTGACAGCTAAAGACTTGGTCAAAGCACTTATAAGCAACATAACTGACCAAGAATTTAGAACAATAGTCACAAAATTAATCACTGGGCTTGACAAAGGCATAGAAGACAGCAGGGACGCTATTGCTACAAAGATTATGGACCTTAAAACTAGTTAGGATGAATTAAAAGGTGTTATAAATGAGATGCATAATAAAATGGAGGCAGTCACTACACGGATTGAAGAGGCAAAGAGGAGAATAGGTGAATTAGAAGACACGATTATAGAAAAAAGAGGAAGCTGAGGAAAAGACATAAATTGATCCAGGGGCATGAAAGGAGAATTTGAGAGCAGACTGATGCAAGCAAACAGAACAACATCCATAGCATAGGATCCAGAAGAAGAAGAAAAGAAGAGTAAGAAGAAAAGAGAGAAAGGGGCTGAAGGGGTACTTGATAAATTATAGCTGAGAACTTCCCCAATCTGGGGAAGGAAAGAGACACTGATATCCAAGAGGCACAGAGAACTCCCCTCAGACGTAACTTGAATCGATCTTCTGCATGACATAGCTTCGTGAAACTGGCAAAATAAAAGGATAAAGAGAATTCTGAAGGCAGCAAGGGATCAAAGGGCCCTAACGTACAAAGGGAGACACATCAGGGTGGTTGCAGACCTTTCTACTGAAACTTGGCAGGCCGGAAAGGAATAGGCAGGACATCTTCAACATGATGAACAGAAAAAATATGCAGCCAAGAATCCTTTATCCAGCAAACCTGTCATTCAGAACAGAAGGAGAGGTAAAGGTTTTCCCACACAAACAAAAATTGAAGGAATTCATCACCACTAGACCAGTCCTACAAGTCCAGCCCTAAGGCAGACTCTGAAATGTTGCAAGGAACACAACATACCAGAGACCCCACTACAAGCACGAATCCTACAGAGAGCACAAGGACTCCAAACCCAGATTTTTCAATAATAAAAACCCTGGATGTAAATGGACTAAATGCTCCAATCAAAAGACACAGGGTATCAGAATGGATTGGAGAAAAAAAACAAAACAAAACAAACCACCCGAAAACCAAGATCCATCTATCCGCTTTCTGCAAGAGACTCATTTTAGACATGAGGACACCTTCAGATTGAAAGTGAGGGGAGGGAGAAACCTCTATCATGCAACTGGAAGTCAAAAGACAGCCGGAGTAGCCATACTTATCTCGGACAAACTGGACTTTAAAGTAAAGGCTGCAAGAAGGGATGAAGAAGGGTCTATCTAACAGGTGGGGTTAACAATTATAAATGTCTACGCACCAAATTCGGGAGC